TAAACACACATAGTTCGCCAGCCCGCCAATCTGCCACCTTTTAATTTTTTTACGCCAAAAACTCCTTTGTGCTACGCCAAGTGGCTATGCTTTCCGCCAAAGATCTTGAGCTGATGAGTATCGGAATCCAATCAGGTATGAGCTAATATCCTGCTAGTAGAGAATCAATCAGATTGCAGAATACCTCATATTTGGATATGAGGTATTCTGCAATCTGATTGATTCTTTACTAGCAGGATATTAGCTCATACCTGATTGGATTCCGATACTCATCAGCTCAAGATCTTTGGCGGAAAGCATAGCCACTTGGCGTAGCACAAAGGAGTTTTTGGCGTAAAAAAATTAAAAGGTGGCAGATTGGCGGGCTGGCGAACTATGTGTGTTTATAAGAAATGTTGCGCTTTTGGCGGGTTTTCTAAAGTTTCTTTGGCGGGCGAAAATGGAGAAATTCAATAAAGAGCTCATATCCTGTGAGTAGAGAAAAACAAGTGGCGGTTCAAACTGAATTTCCGACGTTTTGCGAACGAGAAAACGGCAAGTTGTTCGCTTTTTATAGCCTTTACAGGATTAAAAACACAATGATAAACTCCCACAAATTGTTTACAGGTTAGCAAATGAATTTTTAAAATTTAAAATGGTTAAAAATATATATTTTTGAAAAAATAATCGGCCGAAAGAGCGAAGATAAAAATATAAACATAAACATAAACATAAACATAAACATAAACAAAATAGAAAAATATTGAAAATATCCGAAAAGCAAAGTCTGTGAATTCAGACCTTGTGTATATAATGATTAACTTTACCTTTCTCGTTCTTCTGACTCTTCTCTCGGTGCTTGTAGGGCATCGGCTGCTCTACTACCTTCGAGTTCTCTGAACTGGCTCGTAGCATCACGTACTCATTTGCCGGCTGCAGCGAACCAAACACCGAAGTGAAGCAAAACAATGTGCATAACTCGAAAGTTATATGTCAATTCAATGTCCGTATTCGAAAGATCAATGACGGTTAAATTCACTTTCAATTTCGTTTTATGTAGAAGTGCATGCATAATACATCCAGGGATATAGAAGACGGGGGCGCTCCCCCGTTGTTAAAATTTTATTTTAATCCCCAAAATGTTTGCATATAATAACTTGGAATTACACTGGAAATTTTTACTGTGGAAAATCCTTACTATGGAAATAGTATGGATCTTCGTTGGAAATAGTATGGAAATCCAATTTTCATACTAATTGCAATTTCCATACTATTCGCAATACTCGTAATCTTGTGTAAAAGGAAAATATTAATGTGGTATAATTATGTAATATATGTGTTGATTAGGTATCATGTGATACAGGCAATGTATAAAATAACCACACCTACCATTTAGTGTGAATTCCGTCAGGGGAGGCACAAATCTGACTGAAAGACAAAACAACCCATGCCCCGCCCACCCATAAATTCGTCCAGTTCGGGCGCTTCTGTTGTCACGCAACCTTTCCACATCTGTTCAGACCCATATTTTCATCCCAATACCCTCATTGAACTGAACAGGTGAGGCGAGTGTTGCTGAATAGGTTATACTATGGAAATAATATGGATATATTATGGATTGCATTGTGCATTTGCAAATTCCATAGTATGGATTTGACCTTTTTTTTTCCAGTGCGCGAAAGTTCTTTGCGATTGTAGGGTCGAAATGATGTGGTAATGATTTTAGTAATCTGTACTTCATCGCGATGATCCTATCAGTACATAATCTTTGCAGGTCTGCCATAAAATAGCTTTGCTATATCGAAATATTTTATTTTAAGTTGAATTATTTCTTCAAAAGACCACAAATTGAAGCAATGCTGAAACTAAAAGTGAATACCAGAACTTTCCATGCTTATCATGTCGTACCCTCCCCTGCCTTGAGAGACCCTCCCCCTGATTACGCTTCATTTCTGCATCACTGATATTAATATCATAATCATAATCTCTTCCATGATGCAATATTACTGAAACGTTCATTGAAGGAAAGTTGTATCATTGTACACTAAATCTTGTCAAGCGATCAAGAAGCGGTAGTAAAACAGAGGTTAACAATGGCTTCCAGTTCCAGTAAATATGATAGGGTAACGACTGATCCAGATTTCACTACAACAAAAAATATTGGAAAGCTGATTTGTGAATTCATTGGAGGTTTGATGAAAATAACAAACCTAAAACAGAGCAAAAATATAGAACCTATGATTAAACGTTTAGGCAAACACTTGGAAGAACTCGTTGGAACGGCCGAGGGAAGACGGCTTCTATGCAGCATGAAACAACTGGCATTACGAATAAAAAACAAAGAAAACTTTCTGGGTATGTTATGGCGCATGTTTCATGTAACTGGACGCATTTGTACTGAAGGTTCTGGGCGATTTGGTCTGTTTTTCATGGGAACAGCACTTTTAGTTTTTCTCCTATCGACAGTTACAGGTCTTGCGGAAGGAATATTAGCAGTCTGGTTTACACTAGCAGCAAGGACATTTGCTATGCAGTTGTTTACTAGTGGCTCGAACCTCATGCGAAAGGGTGTAAAAGAAACAGTTCCAAATCGGAAAACATTCGTGAACTTATTGAACACAATTGCGTGCGGCAGCGGACAGGAACATGAGCAAGTGTCAAAGGAGGAAATTCAACAGTTGGAAGTCAGATTTGCAAGAGCTAAAGTTTGTTTTCACCATGACTGGGTATTGCTTTAAATTTGAATTCGTTTTGTAAATCGAAACCACGTACGTCATGAAAACGTCAGCAACTTTCAGTATTACCTTTCAGTTCAGGCTTTATGCTTGAAATAGAGCCTGCTACTGAAGTCAATAAAAAGTGGACAGTGATTTGGATGCACGAAAATAACAACCAATCAAAATGGCGATTATTAATTAAATAGAATATCATAGCTAATTTTGAAATATGACAATAACAGCCAATTTCCCGTGTAATCTCAAAAGCAGAATTCGGTGGGGAATTACATATAATAGGCTCGGTACTGACCGTGTTTATAGACAGTAATAAACGAAATTTCGTATTAAGTAAGGCTAGTTAAGGCATTTTAAGACTATTTATTTCTGACCGATGTGAATTTTGCATGCGATTATTGACTTTACAGTGACGGCGGAACGGGTTTTATTTTTGAGGAGTTAGTTCAGCTAAGTTGGGATATTTAAAGTTAGATTGTATTGCATGACGTCATAACGTTGAATATGATTTTTTCATCTTCAACGTTATTACGTCACTCCGTTGAATATTATGTCAGTTATTGAGTTGACATGACGATTTCGCACCATGAATCTTTTATTTGTGTTTTATATTGCTATTTGGCGAAATTTTTATAAATTGAAATTAAATAAATTAAAGAAAAGGCCAAATAATGGTGTCAAGAACCTTTATAATAATAAATAATTGATAGCTCACATATATAAGTCCAATTAACATGTATATATTTTTCTTGACAAATTGAATTAACTATAATGTTCATGTTATATGGAAAAAAAATTGTGTCTATCCGAGTCCTAGTTCAGTATCTCTATATTTTTTGTCTTTTGGGTAATTGGGTTAATAAAAAGTTTAAACAAAATTTATATCTAATTTAAACAGCATACTGTTTGAATTTATAGATAGTACACCAAAATCTAATTTAATTCATTGAGCGCTCACTTTGACGAGTACTAGTTAAAATTGTCTGGCGTGAGACAGATCAAAATAATATAGTAGGGTACCTCATAATGATCCCAGCACTCTCCCGTATACAATGACCAGTAAAATCATCTGGTGTTACACAGAGCAAAAAATAGAGTAGGGCGCATTAGGGCAGGGTGAATAGTTTGATTAACCCATGAGCAACAGCACTCTCCCTTTGATGAGTAATATATATAATGGGTGAGGAAATGGGTTTGGAAAACCCTTTCGCAACCTTCAAATTTCTATGTGTGAAATAAGATAATTTAATTAACATTTGGAAGAAAAACTTTTGTAATTAGTTTTCCAGATGCTAAGAACAACCTTGGAATAATAACCCCGCGAGGGTTAAATTTGTCCCCATGAAAGGGAGTCGCCCCACGGGTTAAATTTGTCCCCCGCCTTTATTGCACGCATTTTAATATGGATATGATAAAGAAAGATGTCCAGAATGAGTGATTCTGAAGCCAAGTGCGTGCTATCCCAACAATATTCCAGTATTCCCAGGTTTGTGATTTTGTTAGTTAATTATTTATTGATAAAAAATAAATTTCTCATTTACCCATTGAGCGGAAGCACAGGTGCTGTAGTTCATTAATCCAAATACTTTGGCTCTCAATTAAATATCACAGTACAGTATAGTTTATAATGCTGGCTAAATTAAAGTGCATAAAAGTTCGAATCAGAATATGAAAATTACCCCCAAGATTTGGGACTGGCTGTGTTGCATGCATTGCTCTTCAATTTGTGGTTGATCCCTAACAGGTTTGGGCTTCAACATGCAATTCCAAATATACTTTCTGGCATTGCCTTAACCATTGTGCGTTAATGTCTGGCAAGGTTTTGATATTAGATCATCAGTATGATCATCAGGTCATCAGCCTGATCATCAGATCATTACCCCCAATATTTGGGGCTGGGCTGTGTTGCACTGCTCTTCGATTTGTTGATCCCTATAGGTTTGGGCCTCAACCGATGGCATGCCGTTAAGTTGCCAAATATAATTTGTGGCATTGCCTTATAACCATCGTGCATTAATGTCTGGCAAGGCTTTGATATTAGATCATCAGTCTGATTATCAGTCTTACACCCAAATTCGTTTGTTTTTTATCCGACCTATATATGATACTGAAATCTTCAACATATTGTTGAATCTTATAATCCTAATAAGTCTCTAGGTCCTGATAATCTAGATCCGCTTGTGTGTAAATTGGCTGCTAAGCCACTTACACCGATTCTCACCCATATATTCAATCAATCAATGGAAGTGAGAAGGGTACCAGATCAATTAAAAGTAGCCAAAGTTATACCTATCTTCAAAAATGATGATAACAGTAAGTTTTCTAACTATCGCCCCATATCCATTCCACAAATTTTTTCCAAAGTTCTTGGAAAGATTGTTTACTCAAGACACTTAAACTCCTAACTAAGTTCAATATTCTTTGTGATAACCAGTATGGTTTTCGCAAGAATCGCCCTACTTTTATGGCTGTATCAGAACTAATTGTTAATCTTTCTAACTCAGTGGAAGTCTTCATTGATTTGAGCAAAGCATTTGATACGGTCAATCATAAAATTCTTCTTTAGAAACTCCTTCGTAATGGTATTAGGGGTACACCATTAAACTGGTTTTCTGACTACCTTTCTAAAAGGAAACAATTTGTCAAATTCAATGATATACTTTGTCGTAGTATATCATACTCTGAGTTCCCCAGGGGTCAATATTGGGACCTCTGTTATTCCTTATTTATATCGACTCACTATCGTATTCCCGTGACATATTTCGGGGTATATCTCAAATTAAAATAATTTTATATTGCATAGGTTAAAACTACCCATTACAATCAGGTACTAGTTACTATAATATATGGGTTATTTTAACCAATAATTAATTAGTTATTTCAACAAAAATGGTTAATATTTGCCCAATTAAAATAGGTCATTTTAACCTATATTTAAACGGTTAATTAATAACAACCAAGACAAATAGTTTTTATTAGTTTTAATTAAATTAATTAAAAATTATAGGTTATTTTTACCTAATAACAGGTATGTATTTCAAACAGTAATATTTTCAATTGGTTGATTTCAATTGGAAAGCTTGCATGGTAACGTTTCTGAGAGGAACTCATGCTTGAAAACAGTTCTCCATTTCAATTCATATGAATAACGCAGGGCAACCTGCTCCCCCCCCCCCATTGTTTGGGCAACGGGGCAACCTGCTGCCCCCGTGGCACCGGCGCCCCTGCATACCTTTGGTCACAATTTCAAAGGTCCAATTCATTTCGGTGTATTTCCCAGTCACGCTCTCGAGAAAGCTAGTCCTCAACTCCATGTTTTACATGCACAGGCGCATTAATTGTAACATTTTGTGATTGGTACACATTGGCACGAACTTCGTAACTATATATACAAGTTGGTACCTGAATTGGTATGTGGCCGGTACACCTTGTACGACCTACCACATTGCCGACCTGTAGCTCCTATAATAATAATAATATATTAAAGCTTATACAATATATTGAAGCTTATATATACGAAATTGTGGTGGTTTTCGAATCAGACAATCATTTTTATGTTAAAAAAACCCCCGACAAATTCACAATTTGTCCACCTGTGCGAAGAGTGTTTAAAGTAGGAAATATGCGGTCGAAAAATTCGGACTTGAACCATGTGGTTGGAGATGATCAATGACAATGTTGTTTAAAATTTTCACTGCATTGCCACTGCACATGGCACATTGCCACTTAATTTAAAGGGTTAATCAACCTGTATTTCATCACTGACTACCTCATGCTAGTATGTTATGCACATCATTGCAGATTATGCATTATTCTGCATATATGTATTATTGTATCTAGTAAAAGAGGCACTTTAAAATGCATTGCCCATGATGGATGGGTGAATGCCCAGTGCAAAGAAAGCTTTCAGGGTAGACAATTTATAAAGCGTGCATGTGATTTATTCGTGCCGGTTATTTCGGTTGCAAATATTATAGGTTGATGCCACTAATAGAGAGGTTATATAAGATACCCCGGTTATGGGTACGGGTGATATACACGTACCCGTACCAGTAAATCGGGGAACGACTTGTAACTTAAGAAATCCAAGATATTCCGGCGTGTGAAAACTGATCAGAGAATGGTAACTTTCGCTGTTGAGGTTCGCCATAAATTGTTGAAAACTTTGACGAGCATATGTGCATTATTTATTTGGGTAAGATGTTTAAAATTTTTACTATTTAAACGGCCCACATATAGTAACAGAAAACACCCGTACCCGTTTGTCTTTTACGTGTAGACCTTGGTTTACCGCGGGGCAACGGGTAGAAATTACGGGTAAAAATTGCTGACATCAGCAAAAATTGCTAAACAAAATGGCGATACTCGTACCCGTAAATCAGAACCGGGGTATCTTAACCTCTCTAATAAATAACATGTTCGGGACGCTTACTGCAATTTACCTATCATGACAAATACATTAATTTGAATACGTTTTCACAATGACAACAACAACAATTCTATGTTTTTTTTCAATCTCTTCCCCGCGGGGCTGGAAATAATATGTGATTATTTTAACCATACTGTCTTCCCCTGTGGCGTTAATGTCTTTGAGTTGATAGATTGTGAAGTGGTGGATCATGCCTGTCCGTGCAGGTCAAAGTATTTATTCGATCGCTCGTGATTATTGGATATTTCATCGAAGCCAACTTAATCTTTACAATTTGTTGATATTTCTTAACTGTGGGAATCAAAGCATAAACAAATGACAAACACCTAAGAACGTAAAACAACGTCGTGAGGCCTTCGCATTAATAAACTATCGAATAAGTTATACTCTTTGGTGACGTGCAGAATTTTTCCTGCCATGCAATGTACTTTTAGGACAAGCTTTATTGATATTTAAACAAAATTTAATATTCTGTCGACTGTACATGCGTTTTTTTACCACAAGTAAAGCGATATACCAGCTTATCCATACAGATACAATTTAATAATAATATTTTACGCACATTTTTATGTCAAAAGTGCTTGTTGGACTTAAAACATTCATA